GACTTGGAGTAATAATTTGATATTCGAGTAATTAAATCGAATATACTTAGAAAATCATTTGTAAAATCTTAAAATTCTTTTAACTTAATTTGTTATATCGAAACATCAAAATGTTGTCAACAAAACATTTTATGTGCAACAAAAACCCATAAACTAATATGGCCAAACTAGGACGAGAATGACTTTCAAGAACCTACAGAATGGATGCACCAATAGGAACAATTTATAACCTCTGGATAGAGGAGAATGTGTGTAACATCCTCAATACCGGGTTAGTGATCAAATTGTAAAGTTTTAGAATTTGGTGACTAGAGTAGAACCATGGATTAGTTCAATGATTTATTTGGAAATAAATCATAAAAGTTATTAGTAATTATAAGATGAATTGAAGGGCAAAAGGGTCATTTGACAAGGAAGATTTTTTTATTTTCCTTGTAAGATAAGGAAATCACGTGGGAAGAGAGAAAATGTTCCAGAGTTCTCTTATCTTATCTTCTCTTCTTCATTCTTAATTCGTGAAGGCTTGACTCAAATATGAGTTTCTTTGTTTGTTGATTAATTATTGATTTTAAGGTTAGGTTATGATCATTAGATGATAATTAAGCTTAAGGAAAGCTTAATTTGTTCTAAAACAACAAAATGAAAGATTTAGAAGAGATTAAAGAAAATGAGTTTTTAGATGAATTTATGGAAAAGAGTTAATAAGTGAAATTTGAGGAAGGAATTTGACTTGTAATCACTAAGAATAAGAGATATCTGAAGTTAGAAATGATTAATAACAAAGTTGAAAGTTTAGTAAGATTCTTAAATCTTAAGAATCATGATGAGATATGGAAGATAAAGATGGTTTACATGGATATAAGTTGGTTTAAGTAATGGTAGTTGAATTTAATGACATAATAGGGGCTTAAAATAGAATAATTGAATGAAGAATTGATGGTTTTCGGGCTTAAAATGCAAATTTTGGGCAAGGTGTATCGATGTACATTCAATGTTCATCGATGCACTCTTTAAAGAATAAACATCGAATGCAATTGGTGCATCGATGCATAAGAAGTGTATCGATGCATCCCCTTAAAATGAAAACATCGAAGGTAATTTGTGTATCGATGCATGGGTAGTCCATCGATGCACATGTTAAAGAATGCATCGATGCACTGTAGAATGCATCGATGCACTTCAAGGGGAAATTAAAATAGACATTTCTTTTGGTCTAAGAAATGATATATTAGAATATATCAATTGGATACTGATATGTATCAATGTATGATTATATATATATCGAGCACGAACAAGTTCCGGAGCGATTATTAAGTCAAGATTTGATCGAAAGAAAAAAAAGAAAGGAAATCATAAAAGTGAATTGGAACTTAGTGAGGCCCAGGTGAGTGCATATTAGTTAGTATATGGTGCTAAATGGAAACAAGACTTGCGACAAGTCTATTTCCTATATTAGAATGCATGAATATATGATTATATGTTTATGAATGACATGAATTGTATGTATGCATGATTATATGTGTTAACATGCTTTTGAATATAATGATATGAGAATTATGTGCTATGTGATTGCATGAGAAAGATATGAACCATATGACATGATATATGTGAACATGAGAAAACAAGGCATAAGACATGAACTATGTAGATAATAAAGATTTAAGTAATAACAAGAGAAAGTGGTATACACTTGGTGGTATAAATACTCAGAATTATATGGACATGTAATATAGGTTAGGTAATGGGGAATTATGGGTCTATATGACTAGGAGAAGATATAAGAACCATGGGCAAAATATATAATAAGTGTACACAAACTCTAGGGAATGTTATAAGTGGAAGGGAACTATATGACATATAGTATATTGTAGGGCAATGATTTATGTGAAATATGATAACCAAGTATAAGTTATGTAAGTTAGATTCTATGTAACTAATATGATGGACTCATATGATTAAATGAAGACTGAAATAAGTTGAGTAACATTGATGTATAAATATGATAGAAAATGAGAATCAGATGTAACTAAGAAACACTGGCATAAGTTATTATACTAATATTTAATAGTAGTTATATAAGAATTATATAGGAAATCATATGTGAATATATGTTTAGATAATAAAATTATATGAGATGAATTGTGAAGCTATGTGATATGTTATGAGAAATGACCCATGTGAATACATGAGCTTATATGAATTAGTGATGTGAATGTATATGTGAATATAAGTAATATGAGCTACGTGCTTATGAGATATGAATATGGAACATGAGCTATGTGAAAATAAGTTAAGTAATTACATGTGCAAATGGAAATGTTATATGAAACGCTATGTGGATATATGAAGATGTGTAATGGTATAAAAGATAATGCCCATGTTATGTGATATAAGAGCTAGGGTATAGTTGGCATGCCAAGAGTCGAGGGATTATCAGTGGTCCTTCGGGACAAACAGTAGTCCTTCGGGACATAGTGGTTCTTCGGAACAACCAGTGGTCCTTCAGGACATAGTGGTCCTTCGGGACAAATATTCAGTGCCCCTTGAGGGAATTATACGAGCTGTGGTGATAGCATAGTGCACAACCTCTATGTACTCGCATATCTTTAGTTCTCACATGTGTACATGGGCTAATAAGAGATAATATAAATAAACTTGATATGATGATATGTTTGTTTCCTTGTGAAATGTTATGTGTGATATATGATTGTACAAATGGTAATTATAAGATCATATGATAAAGAAATCTATGATAGTGATAAAAATGAACATAATGATATAGTTGCTTGATTGTATATGTTATATGATATAAGTGAGTACATGTTAAGATATATGATATGAACATAAGAGATTATATAAACAAGAGAATAAGAAATATGAATGATAATGACATGTATGTATGTATGTAGTGTATTTGTTATATGAATAAGGATATGAGTGGTATGATATAATAGTAGTAATTATTCATGCATGATTACAAGTTATAGTTTACATTATATGTTTATTTGTCTCACTAAGTCATAGACTTAGCGTGTGATTGTTTCACACGTAGGTTACAGAAGCGAGAAGAGAAGCGAAGATGAGCAAGACAGGTCAGCATCTCCCTTACAAAATTTCAGATCAGAAAATAGATGATTTAAATGTGTTTGGTTATTTTGAATATGGTTGGCATGTACTAATTGATTGAGTTAAATATGCTCTGATCGATTTTGGTTATGGTGGTCAATTTATGTAAATAAACCGCTTTTTACTTTAATGAAAGTTTTAAATTTTCTTTGAATTTTTGTTAAGAGTCAAAGTTTGAAAAGTCAATGTGACACCTCAGACTCGTATCCGGGTCGGGTACGAGTTGGGGTGTTACAATGTGGTAGAGTAATTTAGTTTACTATAATAGTTTGTTTTGTTATTTACCCAAAAAAAATTATAGCCCTTACATGAGATTGAAATGGAGATTGGTTAGGGTTTTGGCTCATCATCTTCAAACGTTGGAGGGAGAATCGACCACTGTTTACCGAAGTCTAAAGGAATGATTCGTGAATATAAACTCTGAACAGTGAATTGAAACCCAGTAATAGAAATTTGAGTGTGATGGTGAATTTTGTGGGAGATGGGTTTGACACTTTGGCTATTTGGGTGTGAAATTATGAACTGTGAGATGAGAGTGAGAACGACAACACTACACGATAGAAGAAAATATTAGAAATTATTAACTTAAAATTAGAAAAAAAATTAGGGGTGTTGGGGTGGCTGACTGTAATTATTGGGTTATTTAAGGGCCCAATTTTAGAAATTATTAATTTAGGAGCCCAATTTTTTATCGAATTTTCGGATAATCCAAACATGAATTTTTATCGATCTGTATCCGATCCGATAATTCGAAATATTTTTCGGATACCCGATCTGAACTATCCGAAAATTGAAAAACGGATCAGATATCTGAATTTTTGGATCAGATCAACGGATCGGATCTGTCGGGTCCGATTTTTTTGCACACCCCTAAGTCTGAGTACTTTGTTATGTATGTTGTTGTGACCTTAAGGCTATTTTTTTTTTTTTGTCATCATATTATCTCATATGCTTAGCTTTCCACTATGCTTAAATATATATATATATATATATATATATATATATATACACTTACAACGATTTGTGTCTTATATATTGTTATATACGTATACTTCGCTTATAATTTCTTTTATATATAATTTATCCCCATCATTCTCCATTTTAATACTAATCTTCGAATATATATATATATGATACTTGACATGTCTTAAGTCAATATCTTTTGTGTGATAAATCCATGAAAAAATCTCCCGACTATAAGGGAAGCGCGCTTTTGAGTATTGTTCTTACAAATAGGTATCCTTTTTATTCAAATGTTTTTTAAGATTTTTAACATAATATTATACATTTTTAATATTAAATAAAAGTTAAAGCAATATGTTAGGATTCGATGAAGCTCAAATTAATCAACCGAAAATTTTGCCAAGAATGGGTGAATTGACTTTTTGAGTTTAGGGAGTAAGGAGTATAAAGATGAAATAATTTTCACATGAATTTATAGTGGTTCGACTTCTCAACCAAGTCTACATCCACTACCTAAGCTCCTCACTTAGGATTTTCTAACAAATCTACTAATTTGTTCTTTCTTTTTCCATGACAAAGATATAACATTTACAACTCCCTAGCTTTTCAATGGCTAAGCTAGAACCAATCCCCTTTACAAAAGGAATAAAAGATGTAAACAAGAAAAATCTCTCAAAAGGAAGGAGTTTACAAAAATTAAGCTCACTAAAACACTCGAAAGATTTACAATGAGATCAAACACACTTATGTACAAGAGAAAAGGAAAGATAAAGAGTGAAATAGCTTTTCCCTTGATCTCTATTGCTTGGATATGTGTTGTCCAACCATCTTCAAGTGTCCTCAACTTATTTTTATATGTTGAAATGAGTTTGCGATTGTTTCTAGCCGTTGGAGATGTTTTAGAGCCATTGGGGATTAATTTTCTGCAAAATAAAACTGCCCAGATCAGGGAGTATCGGTACTCCTTTCATGAGTATTATTACTCCTTTATAATATTTAAATAAACTAGCCGTTGAAGACCGTTGGGCTTGACCAGTATCGATACTATGCTTCATGGTATCGATACCATTGTGTAAAGTAGTATTGTTACCCCTTAAGTATGGGCACCTATTTTGCATTCTGGAATTTGAGCAATTTAGAAAACATCTGGTAGTATCGATACTACCTAGAGAGTATCGATACTTCTCTTACCTTTGGTATCGATACCACATGAACAATATCAGTATTGTTCATGTAGTATCGATACTGTAAGAACAATATCAGTATTACATACCCAAAAACTATTTTGTGCTCAAATTCTAGTTTAATGGACTTTGAATTATTTTTTGAAAACTTTGAACAAATTAAATCAAGTCCAAAAACATTTTGCCTTAATTTGTTATATCAAAACACTATAAAACATGGTTCAATAATCTCCCCTTTTTGATATAACAAAACATTTGAAAAATAGTTTTAGCAAAACTCCCCCTTAATAAAATATTTAATGAAAAGGATAAATATTTTGAAAATATTAAAGTTCTCCCTTTTTCATTGAGAAATTGAATTTTTCAAATCTATATTTCTCCCCCTTTTTGTTATAAAAAAATTCAAACTTTTAAGCTAAAAAACAACAATGGAGAGTAAATACTAATTTTAACATTAAAATCATTTGAAAAATCAAAAAATCCCCCTCAATAAAACTATTCCAAACAAAATTTGACTTTAAAAGCTTTACACTTAAAAGACATTGAATTTCAACAAAGATTAACAAACATGTTAGAAGCACATTAAATTCAATCTATCCAAGTCTAATATACTTTATGCAATACCAATTGTTGTATTTAAGTGCATGTGCATAAAGTTATCCAAAAATGTTATGCATTTGAAAAATTGATATCAATTGTTAGAGAGATATCATTTGCAACAAATCACATGATAAACATTTAAATTAAGGTCAAAAATTAAAATTTGTAAAAACAAAGCATTAAAACTAATTTTGACCAAAATTCATTATGATGAACAAACATTCATGAAAAATCATTAAAACTTTAGAAAATGTTCATCACAATTCTTTTTAACATACATGAGATAGAAAACGTAAACGTATATCAAGTGTGGTTAGAGCATTTGAGTATCTTCACTTTCATCACCATTGCTCCCACACGCCTACAAGAGACATTTATGTAGATTTTGGTATCCAAATTGCTTTGGATCCTTGAACGTTAGTTTCAATGCCCCTTGTTCCCTTAGGAATCCATATTTGTTTAATTTTAAAATGTTTTCCTTTCTTTAAAGGACAAGTATGTTCCTTGTGACCATAATAATGACCATGTGAGCATTTTGTCATTATGAAATTAGATGAATTTAAAATGATTTCCTTTTCTTTTGTTAAGCATTCAAGCTTAACCTTTAAATCAAAAAATTCTTTGTCAAAATTTTTAATTTTCATTTTTGAAAGCTCTAAATCCTTTTTCAAAATTTCATTTTGTTTTTCAAAATCAACTTTTTCTTTCAAAAGAAAATCATTTTCAACTTTAAGTTTTGAAATCATTTTCTTGTATTTGGAGTTCATGGTCTCAAACTCAAAAAATAATTCATCATATGCATCTAGTAACTCATCAAAAGAATATGAATCGGATTCATTAGAGTTAGAATATACTTTGGGCTCTTCAATAGCCATTAAGCACACCGCCTTTGTTGGTTCTTCTTTCTTGTTTCTGATTCTCTTTGAGCTTATTCCAACGTTCTTTGGCATTTGAACAAGGAGAAACTTCTTCATGAACATCGGGACCAAATGCATAAAACAACATGTGAATGCCCTTATCATTTTGTTGAGCTTTCTTCCATTATTGGGCACTCCACTCATTCGTCTTCTTCTTTGGAGAAGAGTAACCATTCTCGATCATCTCCCGTGCATCAATAACATTGGATTGGATGAATATCTTCATTAATTTCTTCCAATGATAGTAGTTGGGTTCATTGAAGTATAGAGACGTCGATCGGTTGAAAGTCTTCCATGTGGACTGAGCCAGAGGTGGAAGTTATCTTCTCGGTTGTGTCAAAAATGGATAGAGCTTATTCAAGGATCGTCTCAAGGTTGTTAGACCTTCTAATGAGTCACACTCTGATACCAATTGTTAGGACTGATAATGCTCAATTGAACAACTGAATATTGCTAAGAGGAGGTGAAATGGACAATTAAAAAATTTGGGTATGGAGTAAAAAGAGATAAGAAAATTTGCATAATGATTTATAGTGGTTCGACTTCTAAACCAAGTCTACATACACTACCTTAGCACCATACTAAGGATTTTCTACCAAATTCACTAATTTGTTCTTTCTTTTTCCATGACAAAGAGACAACCTTTACAAAACCATTAGTTTTTCAATGGCTAAACTAAAATCACTCCATTTTACAAAGGTTGAACGATGTAAACAACAAAACCTCACAAAGGTAGGTGTTTACAAGAATTAAGTTCACAAGAAAACAATTAAAAGATTTACAATAAGCTCAAACACACAAATGTACAACAGAAAAGGAAAAATAAAGAGTGAAAAAGTTTTTCTCTTGATCTCTATTGCTTGGATAGGTGTTATAACCTTCTTCAAGTGTCGTTAACTTGTTTTTATATGTTGGAATGAATTTGTGGCCGTTTCTACTTTTATAGCTCTCTCCAACTTCTCTTACTAGACAAAATCATATACATGAGTTACTAACTGATTTGGAGGCTTAGGGGGATGTTAAGAAAGTATCCTAGAGCTTTAATCTTCCCAAACTGAATTGAAAAACCTTGGGTTTCTAAACCCTAACTAAACCCTTTCTATGGCCACCATGGCCAAAACTTAATGTTGAGAGCTTGAAAAGAAGCTTGGAATGAAGAGGTTATGATTCTTACCTTTAGAATATCAAACCAAGCTTGTTAGATCACAAAATTTCTATCTTTCTCAATATACAATGGAATACAATGAGGGGTTTGAATGGGAGAAGAAGACAAAGGTGATGAAAAAGAGATATGAGAGAAGAGGGTTCAGATGTGATATCATCCTTAATGAAATTTATCATTGTAAACTAAAATATAATTGCTTCCTTGGTCATTCAAGCTTTGGTCACAAATCAAAAATGTTCTTTTTAACTTTAATTGGACTCAATCCAAGCCTAATTCCACTCAAACTTGGACTAAGACTTACTATAAGCTAATGGGTTTACCCAAGGCCCTCTCGGGTTAGCCCAAAATTCTAAATTGGGATTTGAGGTGTTACAAAGCGAGTTTTATTTCCTTATTTCGGGTGTACAATTCATGGAAGAATGTGTTATTTTTATGAGGTAGTGTTCACTTTCAAAATTATTCCAATTTGGAATACATTGCTTCTAAGACAACAAATTTTACCATGACACTGTAATTTTATCATTTTTCTAATATTATATTATTATTATTTGTGATAGTATAAAGATTTTCAACAACAATATATCAATCTAATCGATAATTTTGAAGAAAATATTAGAGACAGGTAATTCATCTATTTCTTTATTTATTTATCTGCCTCTACTTTATCCGTGTAAATTTCAAACTCTTAACTCATTACATTACACATCAAAGTTATTTGTTTGTTTATAATTTCTCCCATCTATTTTATTTTTGAAAAGAACGATAACAATTGGATTTCACTCCCTTACTTCGAGTGTATGATGCTCAAAAGACTGTGTTAACTTTAGGGGGTAACGTTTATTTTGTGAATTACATCAATCTGGTGAGGATGTTGACACATTGATACAAGAATAAATATTAAAATTATCAATGGTCTTATCATACATATGTACTGGAGGAGTGAAAGAACACCTCAACACATCATACAAATATGTATCACCTACTCCACTGTCGTCACCTACAGTAGCCTTTGTATTATTTTCCCCTTCGTCGATAACATCCACATCACAACTTGCAACTTCAATTTGATCACCAATGAGTGAGTCATTCGACTCCTGGTTTACTTCTTCCTATAGAACCATGTTAAAATGAACAACGGCTTCGAAATGTCATCGTCTGTAGGCCCAAAACCCTTCAGCAATCGCCAATCTGACCATTGTCTCCTAGGGTAGTTGCAGAATGTGAGCAACGTGTCTTTCTTCACCGCCATTTTTCTTTAGCGATACCTTCACCATATCATCTGTGTCTCATATAACCACATATTAATGCAATCTTTAACACTCGGAGGATACTCGTTCCCAACCACGAGATCTCCGATCTTGAACTCGTTTTCGGGATATTCTCCCCAAGGAAAAAACGTAAAGTCATTTTAAATGAAAATTTTCTCGACCATCCAGACACCCTTCTTGAACAAGGTAAATTGCTCCTCCTTCTCGTCTAATCGTAGGATTACTCCATTAAAAAGGAAAATCAAAGCCTTTGAGTAATTTCAAGGTCACCTTAATGGATTTGGAGAAATCCAAACCCAATTTATGCTTACTTCTCCAACCTAGAAGAAGTTTGTCAATCTTAAGCTCCTTTACACGCCTTCGCATAAAACTTATACGGCTCGAAAAAGCCTTCTTAGCCACACCGTTTAGAGTAAAAAGTTTATGTAATGCGACAATTGAAGGCACTCATTTCCTCCGCTGGTAGAAAATAAAATACCTAATAAGAATCCACCAAGAAACTCTGATCAATTGACCCCCGAATCCATCCGTAGATATTCAATACATGCATGAACCAAACGACTTGGGTGGTAAAAGAATTATTGTTATTCCTTAAGGTCCCAGGTTCGAGCATCATGAATGACAGAACTGTGAGCGTTCAATGTTAAATGGTTGAGAGTTTTATTTAAATAGATATCACATTACCCTTATCCAGATTAATAAAAAAATTATTCGACACATATTCCATGGAGTTATTCGTTAGAAGATAGAACCCAACCTTGAGAGTGAATAAAGAAAGAAAGATAAAACTACCTTGATGTGAGGTTTTAATATACCTCAACTCAAATATTACCATCGACATGCTTATTAATAATAGTGTTTTTTTATATATGAAGTTTTAATTTGTTACCATGTGTTTTTATCAGTTATTTAACTATTAATTAATCAACGTGTTAAGAAAAACAAATTTAATTGAACTTAACCTATTGTTGAAATTTAATTAATTTTTAACATGTTTTTAATTAAGTAATTAATTTCATATTGAATGTAAATTTAAATCTCTAAAAATTGGGGTCATTTTTAGGCAAGAACCTAGGGGATATACATATATACTGGGGAGATGTGAGGTTTATGGCTTTCGTATGTTTTGTGACCAAAGTGTCACGGACTTAGCCTAGTTGGTTCGGTTGCTAATCCGTGTGGCACTCGAAAGGGACGCTTCCCAACCAAGTCAGCCTTAATCTCGTAGATCTGGTCAAGCATAAACAAACATCGCGTTAGATCTTTATAGTCACATGGTCCTTCGACCAATAATCCGAGCCCGTAGGGCATAGCGGATGCACACTTCAACCCCCGGACTTCTCCGAGAGAAAAATCTTTTATTAATAAAAGAAACATCAGGTTACAGAAGACTCACCCACACCACCGATTAGGCCGTAGGGGCGGCCCTCGATGGTGTTCACAAGACACGTACCTTTACCTGTGGATCAGCCCAAACTCTGCCGGCTGTCCACCCCCTACATATATGCAAAAACAAAATAACAGAAATGCTACCTATAGACGTTGAAATGCTCGAACAGGGGACAGTAAGTCATACCCCCACTCCCTACCTAAAACATTAAAATGCTTGAAAAGAGGACAAGCTTATTCTACCCTGCCACTAGGCCCTATACATGGTTGGCCTTGGCGTACCTACCCGGTTGTGGCCCCATAAAAGGGACGGTCACGACAATCTCCCCCACCTAATTTGTCGACGTCCTCGTCGACTGCTTGGCCTGAAACTCTTCAATCTTTTGCTTGAATGCCCTGAGATCATACTCTCTTTCCCAAGTGTTCTCTTCCTGATCAAAGCCTCCCCACTTGACTAGATACTCCCGTCTTCGCTTTCCACCCACCTTAACAATTCTCCCTGCTAGAATCTCGTCAACATGACGCTGTGAGGGTGGTTGTGTGTCGATTGACTCCCTGGCAGACATACTCTGATTATTGATATTGGGATCGGTGTGAAACGGCTTCAAATTGCTCACATGGAAGACAGGGTGAACTCTCATCCAAGTAGGAGGGTCAACTTTGTACGAAGCATTCCCCACCTTTGCTACTATTGAGACTGGACCCTCGTACTTACGCACCAAGCGACGATCCCTCTGGCGCAAAAATCTAAGTTGTCCTGGCATCAACTTGACTAGCACCAAATCTCCAACCTGAAAGTGTAGGTCTCGCCTGTTACGATCTGCGCATTTCTTCATACGCTTCGTTGCTTTCTCTAAGTAAGCCTTGGCAATCTCCATATTCTGCTTCCACTCCCCCACAAAATTTGAGGCACGAGGGCATCTACCTTGAGAGGTCTCATCCACAGTGTGAGGAAGTCTTGGCTGATGACCTGTCACCAGTTCAAAAGGGCTTTTATTAGTAGACGAACTCTTTTGTGAATTAAAACATAATTGCGCCACATCCAATAATGGAGGCCAGTTCTTCTGATTGGCCTGAATAAAGTGCCTCGGGTACTCCTCCAAGAGTCCATTAAATCGCTCAGTCTGACCATCTGTTTGGGGGTGGTAACTCGACGAAAAGTTGAGTTGTGTCCCCAATAACTGGAACAATCCTTTCCAAAATTTCCCAATAAATCTTCCATCTCGGTCACTGACTATGCTCTGAGGAATGCCCCAATATTTCACCACATGTTTGAACACCAACTTAGCAGTCTCTTCCGCCGAACAATACTTTGATGCTGGTATAAAAGTGGCGTACTTCGAGAACCTGTCCACTACCACCAAAATTGATCCAAGATCTCCTACTCGAGGCAAGCGTGATATAAAATCCAAGGAGATACTCTCCCAAGGTCGGGCAGGTACGGGTAGTGGCTCGAGCAACCCAGCAGTCCTCTATCGATCTACCTTATCTTGTTGACAAATAAGACATGTCTTGGTGTAATCCATCACATCTTGGCGCATTTGAGGCCAATAATACCCTTGTCCCAACAAAGCAACAGTACGCCTCCAACCAGGATGCCCGGCCCATGGGGTATCATGACATTCCTTCAACAACTTCTGTCGTAGATTTCCAGCTCGAGGAACAAACATTCGTGGCCCCTTTGTCATCAATAAGCCATTTTCTATCCAAAAACATTTCGAAACACCCTTTTTAACCATCTCCATAAGGGCCTCCACTTGCGAATCTTGCTTGGAAAAGTTCACAAGGAGCTGACGAATTTCATTGGACACTCTACTAGCGGATATAGGGGCCACACATCGGAGTGCTGCCAAATCTGCCGTGCGACTCAAAGCGTCAGCAACCTGATTCTTTTTCCCCGCCTTATGCTCAAAGTTGAAGTCAAACTCGGCCAGAAACTCTTGCCATCTAGCTTGCTTTGCTGTTAGTTTCGGTTGTGTAAGGAAGTGGCTAACTGATGTATTATCAGTCTTTACCACAAATTTGGAACCCAACAAATAATGCCTCCAAATTCTCAAGCAATGAATTACTGCGAGAAGTTCTTTCTCTGGAGCCGTATATCTCGCTTCAGTTTCATTTAGCTTCCTACTCTCAAACGCCACGGGATGTTTGTCCTGTAAGAGTACGCCTCCAATTGCATAGTCGGATGCGTCTGTCTCTACTTCTAGAGGTTTTTCCAGGTCTGGAAAGGTAAGCACTGGTTCACTGATTACAACCTTCTTTAAATCGTCAAAGGCCTCTTGACAGTCCTTGGACCAAACCCACTCGCAGCCTTTCTTTAGCAAATCGGTGAGTAACTTTACTCTACGAGAATAACCTTCTACGAATCGTCTATAATAATTGGCCAAACCAAGGAAATATCTAAGCTCACTAACATTTTGTGGGGTCGGCCACTCCTGGATAGCCTTCACTTTCTCTTTATCCATACGAATGCGCCCTCGTTCAATGATGTGGCCCAAAAATTGGACTTGCGTTTGGACGAAAGCACATTTCTCCTTCTTCACAAACAACCGATTTTCCCGTAATCTCGTCAGCACCAACCGAAGATGCTCCAAGTGCTCTTCTATAGAATTGCTAAAAATCATTATATCGTCCAAGTAGATGACTACGAATTTATCAAGATAGTCATGGAACACCTGGTTCATCAAAGTGCAGAAAGTAGCGGGAGCATTGGTTAGTCCAAAAGGCATAACAAGAAATTCAAATGCTCCATATCGAGTTACACATGTCGTCTTTGGCTCATCCCCTTCGGCCACTCTCCCTTGATGGTATCCCGATCTGAGATCCAACTTCGTGAAATACTTAGCATTACTCAACTGGTCGAACAAATCGGCAATCAACGGAATGGGATATTTATTCCTGACAGTCACTTTGTTTAATGCTCTATAATCAACACATAATCTCAAACTCCCATCATGTTTTCTCTGGAATAACGTAGGTGCCCCGAAAGGTGACTTCGAGGGTCGAATAAATTCTGCTTGGAGCAACTCATCCAATTGTTTCCTCAACTCTGCCAACTCTGGAGGACTCATCCGATATGAGCATTTCGCAAGAGGTTTTACTCCCGGAATTAATTCAATCTCATGGTCCACCAACCGTCTAGGGGGTAACTCTTTCGGCAATTCACCCGGAATTACATCCTCAAAGTCTCTCAGCACTTCTTGAACATTCCTGGGCACCATGCCAAGATTGTCATCCTCTTTGGAAATTGGAAAGACTAAGAATGAGGGCTCCCCCTTTTTCACCCCTCTCTTAAATTGGATAGCGGACAATATCTTCTTCCCAGGACGAGGGAGAATCGTAGCTGGTACCACACATGGCTGCTCCCCCATGAACATTAAACAACTTGATGCCGGAACAGGAATCACCTTTGATGCCATCATAAAATCGAGCCCTAATACCAAGTCAAAATCATCCATATGGGAAACAGTGAAATCTACACTTCCTTCCCAAGACCCAAGCTTGATACTGACCCTCTTCACACCTCCACATATCATTAAAGCGGTAGAGTTAACTGCTTTCATTTGTCCCACCTCCTTGGTGACAATCAACTTACATCTCTCCGCTTCCTTAGGAGAGATAAACGTATCTGTGGCCCCTGTGTCGACTAGAGCTTTAGAGGTTTTCCCATTTACTGAGATGTCCACATACATCAATCCCCTATCTGGTTCTTTCCTCAAGTTACTCAACTGAGACTGTAATGCAGTTATGAATCGGATGGAGCCTATTCTAGCCGGCTCAGGCTCATTATCTCCCATCGGAGCGTTCACTCTTTCTCTGTCCTTTGTTGTTGCAACCATGGCATTAAAAGCACTTCGTTGTGGACACTCTGCAACCCGATGAGGTCCATTGCAAAGAAAACACCTTAACGAGGGTCTATTTCCTCCATTGCTCGATCCAGGACCAGTAGGGACTTTATTTTGAGCTGGGTCCCTTCCAGGGACTCTTCTATTTGCTCCCCAACTCGATGTCTTCTCCTCTCGAGCCAACTTGTTCCCACTAACCTGTTGGGTGTTAGCTCCACTCACAGAAGGTGTCTTGCGCTTTCCAGGATGATCGTTATAATCATTAAGGCACTCGGCAGCAGCTATCGCTACTGTCAAATCTTGAACCTTCTGTCTCTGCAACTCGAGTCTAGCCCATGGCTTGAGCCCTTCAAGAAAATGAAACAACTTATCTCTTTCTGACATATCCTTTATATCCAACATTAAGGTTGAGAACTCTCTCACATACTCCCGTATAGTCCCAGTGTGGGATAATTCCCTTAGCTTCTTACGAGCGTTGTAATCAACATTCTCGGGGAGGAAGGAGGTCTTCAACTCCTTCTTCAACGCATCCCAAGTCGTAATGGAGCACACTCCATCTTTGAACTTGGACCGCCACTATAACTTGGCGTCACCACCTAGATACATCGAAGCCATTGCCACCTTATCTTCCTCAGACTCCGTGCGCATAGCTCGAAAATACTGCTCTATGTCAAATAAGAAATTCTCAAGCTCTTTAGCATCCCTCGCTCCATCAAAGCGTTGAGGATCAGGGATCTTGGCTCGTACGCCCACTCTTTAAATAGGGTTTGCGGTCAAACTAGCTACCGCTGCCTGAAGCACACTGACTTGAGCCTTCAGCTCATCATACCCAAGTTGTATCACGCCTATGGCATCTCTTGCCTCATTGCCCAAATCAGTCACTGTCTCGAGCAAATCTTCTTGGGTCTCCTCTACTCTCCTCATACGATCACCAGATATCATATGAGCTCTAAGGGCAGCTAGTGCGGCTTCGATCTCTTCTAGCTTCCGTCGATCAACCGAACCAGTCTCTTGCACAACTGGCTCGGTAGCTTCATGCTATACACCTCTGTGAGAGCTTGTCGATCTGCCATTTCGTGTGCGAACCATTCTCGGTGCAACCGGCTCAATAACTTCCTGCTCTACACCTCTGTGAGAGCTTGTTGCTCCGCCATTTCGTGTACGAACCATTCTTTGTAACTCGCTGGCACCTCTATGCCTGCAACACAAATAAGCACAATCGTGCCTAAATTAGAAAGGAAAAGAGCACCGATGTGCTGAATCCATAGCACCTCTGTGCTAGAATTAACGATTGAGCACCTCTGTGCTTCAATCGAGAGCTGACACCTCTGTGTAGCCAAAAGTGATTGAGCACCTCTGTGCTTCAATCGAGAACTGACACCTCTGTGCAGTTAAAAAAAAGTGACTGAGCACCTCTGTGCTTCAGCCGGGAGCTGACACCTCTGTGTAGCTAAGATGATTGAGCACCTCTGTGCTTCAATCGAGGACTTACACCTCTGTGCAGCCAACTATGACTGAGCACCTCTGTGCTTCAATCTAAATTCTAGCACCTCTGTGCATTGGAATGATTGAGAACCTCTGTGCTACAATCTAAAATCAAGCACCTCAGTGCTTTTACAAATGACCGAGCACCTTCGTGCTGCGGCCTGAGGCGAAGCACCTCTGTGCTAGGGTTAGCACTTGTGCACAGCTGTGCCACAAGCAGGTAACAAGCACTATCATGCTTTACTCAACAAAATGAGCACCTCCGTGCTTTTAGTAAATGAACACGCACCTCTGTGCTCTGATACCAAGTGTCACGGACTTAGCCTAGTTGGTTCGGTTGCTAATCCGTGTGGCACTCGAAAAGGACGCTTCCCAACCAAGTCAGCCTTAATCTCGTAGATCTGGTCAAGCATAAACAAACATCGCGTTAGATCTTTATAGCCACATGGTCCTTCCACCAATAATCCGAGCCCGTGGGGCATAGCGGATGCACACTTCAACCCCCGGACTTCTCCGAGAGAAAAATGTTTTATTAATAAAAGAAACATCGGGTTACAGAAGACTCACCCACACCACCGATTAGGCCGTAGGGGCGGCCCTCGATGGTGTTCACAAGACACGTACCTTTACCTGTGGATCAGCCCAAACTCTGCCGGCTGTCCACCCCCTACATATATGCAAAAACAAAATAACAGAAATGCTACCTATAGACGTTGAAATGCTCGAACAGGGGACAGTAAGTCATACCCCCACTCCCTACCTAAAACATTAAAATGCTTGAAAAGAGGACAAGCTTATTCTACCCTGCCACTAGGCCCTATACATGGTTGGCCTTGGCGTACCTACCCGGTTGTGGCCCCATAAAAGGGACGGTCACGACAATGGACCCAAGCAGCGACGAAACCACCTTATCGTTGGCAGAGCTGACTCCAACTTTTTTTAGTTTAATTATTTATAAGTCCCTATTAATTTTGAAACTTTTGAAATTAAGTCTTAATCCTCAACTTTTCAGGTTTGAAATTAAGCCTCGCGTCCCCAAACTTCCTGGTTTAACTACATTTAGGTCTATCAGTTTTGAAATTAAACAAATTAAGTTATGATTCCTACTCTTTATTTAAATATTTCTTAAGTTTCACAAAACAGTCAAGGATTTAAAATTTTATATTTGGTTAACATCATTGAGAAATAATAGATATGGCATGCACAAAAGCATATTCTTTGCGGAATCCATACAGAATTAATTTCCCTCAACTTTATACAATGATACCAGTTTGAAGGAATCTCAACCATGGCACGCCTGCATTATTTTTCTATAATATATCATTGGGAATATTATTGCCTGCATTATTTTTGCAATGTCAGCCAAAAGCACTAATCCTTATCGTTAAAAGTTTGAAGATTGATCCATTGATTTTTATTAAGCGTGGGAACTCCTAAACAAGGATTTAAATTGCAATTGCAATTGCACTCTCGGTTATATTTAATGGGATTACAAATATAACGGAAGCTATTACGGTAATTTCAAATATCACAGTTATGCAATAACAATTTCAGATGATACATTATCTTATATTAATAACGACCACTATTCTAATAGTGGGCTGCTATTTAAATTCTTGATCCTAAGACGTATAATAGCGCATGTTTCCAATCCCATAAATTGATGTTAGTTTTCAATCGTATCGAGTTGAGTAAAAAATTCAAGTTGACGAGTCTTATTTCATAACTTAAATTTTATTTGAAACTTTTTTGAGTTGATTTTATAAAATTCGAGTCGAGTTATTCGAATTTTGTTTAAATTTAATTGTAAATATTTATAATATTATGTACTAATGATTCTAATCAAACAACTTTTTATAATCATATATGATATACGTACTCATATATTTCTTCATATTTTTTATATGTGATATACATATATCATGCATAGTTGAGAGTTTCAACTTGAATTTGAAAACCAATATTCCACTAATTACTAAAAAATTTAAATCATCCGAGTCTTATCTTATAACTCAAATTTCATGTGAAATTTTTTACTCGAATTAAATCAAATCCATCTTTTTTAAAAAGTAAAATGAAATAAAAAATAATTATCTTTTTTAAAATTAATCATTGGTATCCGATCTATTGACCGATTAATCCAGATCGGGTACTGCAGAGACTCTCAACCCAATTTATTCCATTCGTAAACACTAGGATTCGAACCCTTTACCATAAATATTTCTGATCGTATTTTATTCACACCTGCCCATAAATATGCAATATTAATTAAGATATGGTTGTTTATTCAAATTCATAATATACGAATACTGACCAAACTGGCATGATTGGATGACTAGATCCTTTGCTTCTATCTTTGGTAGTTTGCTAGATTAGCTCACTTACATTTTAAAAAAAAAAAACAATTCGAATTGATTAATTTATTATAACCGTAAAAGCTTGGTCAAATGTTCAGGCTCAATTGCAGGATCTTCAAACTTTTTCAAGCTTAATTGCAGCCTTAACTGAACAATAATAAGCAATCAAAAGTATAATAGTTTTTGTCTGGAAATTTAAACTATAATTTTTTATGAAAATAGAAATGGTTAGTTTATTAGAAAATATGAAATATCTTAAATTATAATAAAAATTAAGTCATTTTCTTACTGTAACTGGGCATAAAAAATTAGTTATTCAAGATCAAACAAAAGATTATATATGAAAAAAGTTAAAAAATTCATTCAACAAATTCAAATAAAAGATACATATAAACTTATCTAATTGCATCATCAAACATACCACAATATAGGATTAAATATATTGAATGACAACCGATAATTATAAATCAAAGTCAACATAGTGAGAAAATTATCTCCGAACGTAAATTATGTATTCAAATCCAACCTGAGAGCCTAAAATAGAGAAGATCAACATGATAACAAATAAGTGTCATATTGATCAGTCGAGATATTACTAAATCCAATCTTGAAATTAAACAACAAGAGGCCAAACGACCGTTAAAAAAATTAAAATCATGCTAAAAGATAAAGAAAAATTCGCTATAAAAACAAAAAAAATCGTTTCATAAATATAAAACTGTCGTAAAAAAAAATAAAAAAATAGACATACGATATAAGAAGGGAAAAAAAATGCATGCGACTCACTGCTAGAGCGCAAAATTTGTACTATCGTCTGCAAATCAAAGAATACAAAGAGACTGTTCCTTTAGCGTCCCCAGCTGTATTTCTCTCTTTTCAGTGGGAAAAAATATAAAAGAAATAAACAATACAAGCGGCACTAAAGAGAATTTTCTTAGGGTTTTTTCTTTTTTTAAAACTATAATTTAACTGGACAATAATATATTTAAAATTTTAACTTTTAATTTAAAAAAAATCCAAATTTTTTTGTACAATTAAGCATCACATAGTAAATATTTTTAAAATTTTTCAAAATAAGTTATTATTTTAAAAAATATATAAAACCTTTGATCAAGTATATTTTAAATATATTTAATAAAATCAATTTATTTAAAATATTTAAAATAAGAGTAAACTAAACAAACAATAAGAAACGTCTCAACTGGATACTAAAATCATTTCGACAATAAATCAAATATTTACCAAAGGTGGAAAGCCATTGAATAGAAAAAGATTTCAAACTTCCCTTCTAACGAAGGCTTTCATTCCGCGAAAAACCATTGATGTTTGCATAGAAATATCCAAAACAATAAGATTACAGACCTGCTTTGAACCGTTGAATGTTGAGGATTTTATATTAAGTCACTCTTGGACGAATTTTTAAAATTTTAAGAAATAAAAATTTTATAAAATTTTAATAGACAGAAATAGTTTTTTTAATAAGAAATATGATTTTAAGTTTTTAGGGTACGATTAGTTCAACTTGCTGCATCCCTGTCCTGTTGGCACAGCTATGAACTCTGAAGGGTTTAAGGCAGGCCTGACTGGTGGCGTGGTTTTGACTTTGTAGTCTCCCATTTCAAAGAGAGAGAGCTATTGTAATTAATTTTTGAAAAAGCTTGATATTGATTATAGAGCATATATATTATCATTTTTATTCTTCTTCTCATGTAGAATACAATGAACACACAAATAACAAAAGATCTTCTACTTAAAAGATATATAGATTCTGAGAATTGTAGACAAAACACTTGAATTACAAAAGAAACCGATTTCACAGTGTAAAATGACCTGGAATGGATATAGTGTTTGATCTGTTCAACATTAATCTGCAGACAAATCAGTGTTTTGCTTTCTTTTTGGTATTCAAAATTAAATCTTTTGGTTTGGATCGGACTGGTCACGTTCGCTTGTCTCCAGGTCTCACCTCTCTCGAGTTCTCGCCACTAGAAGTTCCGTATTCGCTGCTCGAGAATTCTTGGCTCCCAAGGGCCAATTGTCTGAACCTCTGCATGTCAGCATTGTATGCACTGCTGCTGTACTCTCCACTGGCTCCGAAAATTGTGCTTTGGCCTGGCTTTGTTCCATCGTTCAGGTCATCCAGGGAAGAATCTCCTTCCAGGATACGCACTATCTGCTTTTCATAATCTTTTTAGCATAATATATATATATATATATATATATATATATATATATATATATATATATATATATATAAGCAGGTACAGGTACGGAGGGGCTGTGACCCCACCCAGTCAAAAGTTTGTTTTTTTAACCTTTAATTTATATATATAATTTAAATATTTATGGGATAATTATGAAATTACCCCCAAAATTTTAGAAAAGTTATAGTTTACTCCTCTCAAGTTGAAATCCTAGTTTCGTCCCTATGTATAAGGGATAATTAATCAAATGACCACTTTGATGTCGATATGACTACCATACTTTTAATTTTAACAATATAAACATATTATTTAAATGGTTTCAATGTAATTATATATTGTTATAAAACATATTGTGTAGCTGATGTGGTTATTATTGATTAATATCTAGCCAGAAGTCCACATCAATTATTCCGTTTATTTTGTAACAAGTAACTATATTGAAATCACTTAAATATTTATATGGTTATGTTGCCAAAATTAAAAATATGATAGTTATATCGACATCAATCTCATAGTTAAGTGATCATTTGAGTAATTTGTATTAAATATAAAAACAAAGCAAGTCATCAAAGTTTGGAGATCATAGCAGACCTGGCTCATTTTGGGGCGCTTTCTTGCGGAATGTCGGATGCTTGCAGCAGCGCAGGCTATCATGCGTTGCATTTCGTTATGGCTGTATTTCATCTCCAGGCGCGGATCAACCAGCTCATTAAAGTTGCCATCTTCCAGTGCGCGAGACAAAAGTGGTCGAGCCTGTTCATAAAGTACATCAATCAATTAATATGGAGTGTTAGACGTAGGGTTATCGTGTTGACAAGATACATGAATGCGACCGTCTGACAGTGGTTCGGAAGTGATAGATCTTTCAAGCTTGCCAACCATCTTTTGTTAAAGGTTAATTGATGGATGGGGACTTCACCCTTCTTGAGAATTTCCCGAGAGACTTCAACAAGACGAGGAATTGTTACTTGCGGTTTCTGGTGGAGAAATATCTCCGGACGCATAATAGAGGTATAACAATAAATGTAAATGCAATAATAGATATAGAGTGGAAACAGGTACGGACCCAATCTACTAAGCTGTCGTCCATTGTAACGTCAATTGGTTGCTTTCCAGTTATGAGTTCTAAAAGCATGACGCCAAATGAGAAAACATCGGATCTATCTGTTAACTTGCCGCTTGAGGCATACTCCGGAGCCATGTACCTACATTCAATCAAAAGAAATCTAACCCATTGGAGGATTCCAATTTCCAGTTATGACACGATGCATGAATCAATCTTTCTCCTCCTCAAACACACTAGCTATTAATTTCTGCTTATGGATTCAGTCCTTACCCAAATGTTCCCATAACCCGTGTCGAGACATGAGTGTAGTTATCAGATGACAACTTAGCCAATCCAAAATCAGCAACCTATAAAACAGGCACAAGCTTAGATAAAAAGGAGTTCAATGGCCTAAAGCAACACTGATTTAACTGTAAGAGAAGATACCATGGCCTCAAAGTTGTTATCAAGCAGAATATTAGCCGCTTTGATATCACGATGAATAATGCGTGGATTGCCTGCATTTATAATCCAATAAAGAAATGAAAAGCTTGTGGGATAATGGAGTGCATGCCAGAGAGATAAGAAAAGGAGACAAGGAACTACTTACAATCTTCATGCAGATAAGCAAGCCCTATAGCTGAGCCTAACGCAATCCGAAGTCTAGTGGGAAAATCCAAGACAAGACGATCCTTTCCTGCATTGAGAAATTTGATAATGCTTCCATATGCAAATACCAACAAAAGGATGAAGAATAGTTTACCATGGAGATGATATTCCAAGGTTTTATTGGGAACAAATTCATACACCAACATCCGCTGCCCGCCGGCAATGCAATATCCAACTAATGACACAAGATGGCGATGGTGAACACGGCTAATTATTTCAACTTCAGCTTGGAATTCTCTCTCTCCTTGTCCACTACCTGTTTTTAAACTCTTAATTGCAACCTCCTTTCCATTAGGTAAGACGCCCTTGTACACATATCCGAACCCACCCTGACCAATCAGATTGGCCTGAGAAAACCCATTTGTAGCAGCAATCAGCTCCTCATAAGTGAAAGTGCTCTTATTGAGTCCAAGTGTGATATTTGGTGATGGGGGTGGAAAAGGAGGAGGATGGTGTGGGCCTGAGAACTGCGAGCTCGCTTCACCGCTATAAATCGGTGTTCGCAGCGGTACTTGTGAACCCGAGCCGCTGATGACACCGCCGCTACCACCTCCTGATGGTGGTGGTACAGGCACACCATGACCCGGTACTTTCCCATTAGTAACCCAAGGCGAAGTCTGATAGCTGTTATAATACTCTTTACCACCAGCTATGCGTTGAACATTGAATACAAAAGACTTATTATCAGTTCTCAAATCATAAATTTTATATCAAAACTAGATTCATACAAAATTGAACAGAAAATAAATAAACTAATATATATTTGTTGAGTTTCTACTTCATGGGAAGTAGCTTTCATTTCCATAGCTTCATGAATGTCAGGAAGTACCTTTATGCTCATCATAGTTCATCACTTGAGGGGATTTCCTCTTTCTCTTCCGACAGCAACATACTATACAACAGATGATAAAAAGGAGCACCAATCCTACTGCCAAACCTGCTCCTATAAAAATTATTGTATCTATGTCGTTGCCAGATGAGTCAGAATATGGTGTTTTTCCGGAAGAACCAATTTGATTGTTACCATTAGTTTTGTGGGAATTAGAAGATCGGGGAGGGGAATGTTTGTTGCTACTTTTATGCTTTGGAGGAGGAGGAGAGGAATGATTATTATCTTTTTTGTTTTGAGATGACTTTTTGGGAGGAGGTGGCGATGATTGTGAAGGCGGTGGTGAGTTTTTTGATGGAGAATAAGAGGTATCTTGTGACGAATTTGATCCTGATGGAGCAGGTGGGGATTCTTCAGAAGGAGATTTCTCAGGTGATGGTGCCATTTTTGCGTTAGCTTACCAGCCAAGAAACTCCACCCACTCCCTTATTTCCCTGCCTCCAACAACTGAAGAACCCTGACAAAAAATTCCAGGAAAATGTTGATCAACACAAACTACATGTTAAAGCTTTATCCAATTTGTAACACAAACTTGATCGCATACACAATGTACATGTTAAAGTACTGATATTTTATGATGAAACTCAATAATTTGATCTTAACGTTACTTTATGAATGTCTCTGCAGAAATAGAACAAAAATTGAAAAAATATGAAAGAGAGAAGAGAAAAGAGGTACCTGAATGAAGAAGAAACTAGGGTTCAAAGGACGGAGCGAGAATATTTGGGTAAATTTGCCATAACTCTACAAAGGGGACCCTGTCGTTGCCTCCCCTCAGTGCCTTCCTACAAAGCAGGAATTTTGGCCCTTTGTTTTTTGTTTTTTCCTTCTTATTTATTTATTCTATCTTTTCCTTTTGTTGTCTCATTGATACTAGGCCTGTAAACGAACCGAACGCACACGAACGGATGTATGTTCATGTTCGTTCATTTAATAAATAAGCGAACATAAACGAACACGAACATAAACGAACAAAAATTTTTTTGTTCATGTTCGTTCATTAAGGAATATAGCTTGTTCATGTTCGTTCATTTAATAAATAAACGAACACAAACATAAACGAACACGAACATAAATGAACACGAACATAAACGTTGGAGACCCTACCTTCCATTGTTCTTTCATGAAAAATAGTCGACAATGCAAATCAACCAAATCTACAGTGATAATAGCGTAAGAGCTGATTAGCAGTGATGAAATGTTTGAAGATATCAGATATTTCGATCAATCTTTTAAAGATATTAAATGATTCACACAACTTTAGAGTTAATTTGTTCGAACACGACAAAAACATACATAAATCATAAGTAAGCTATATGAATATAATAAAGTCTTAAAGTTAATTTGTTCAACAAAATAATCTTCTTGAAATCCAAACAACTTCAATAATATTTGTAACATATTCAACTTGCATTCATAATCAGTCGTTAATTCATCATCCATCCTGATCAAAATCAAACAAATAAAATTATATTAAATTAAAGGAGTTATAACAAAAGATGAAAAATATACTAAATTAGCGAGGTTATACCAATTCATTCATCCTCATTTTCAAGGAATCTCAACATGTATGATATCTTCGTTTTGCTACAACAAATCAAAAAACCAAAAATATATTAATCATTGTAAACCAAATTCAATAAAACTTAAAACATAAAAAATACCTTGTTTTTATTTTTCTCCAACCCATAGTATTGACGATACCAATCAGCTCCACAAACAAGCATATCTACCATCTTAGTTCCTAAAGAGGATCGATGCGGATCAATAACCCTCCCACCAGCACTGAAAGCAGATTCAGAAGCAACAGTAGTGACCGGAATTGCCAATATGTCAGCAGCCATTTTTGACAAAATGTTAAATTTAATATTGTTCTCCTTCCACCATCCCAGTCTTCATCTTTCCCAAGCCCCGAACCTTCCTACCATGCGAGTCCCTCATCTTCCTTATGCCCGAGTCTGACTCGTTTCAATTCAAATACCTCGACTCACCTCCTTCCATTCCTCCGCAACATTGCAGCCATATCCAGCAGCGCTCCACTGACCACGCCACTTTCTTCCCCCACTAGAGGATATAAGCGCAAATCTGACTGGGACTCCCTAAGGGCAACTCTAACGCGGATGATTGGGCAACGAGGGGTGGGCTGGAGAAGACCGACTGGTCGAATGCACCGTTCATAGCGGCGTACAAGGGGTTCCACATCGTTCAAGATGCCACAAAAAAATCCCTAAATTCACACCCCAAAATTAACAGACCAAAAAAAATTCAAATTATTTACCTTATGAAATCACGTTCAAGAAGGGAAAGAGATGAAGCTTTGTCGAATCATTGCAGTTGAAGACTTGAAGCTCCGTCGAATCGTTGCAGAAATGAAAATTGTGGAGGGTGGGGAGAGTTGAGAATCAAGAACAGCTGAATGACGGGTTGGAGAAGAGTTGAGAAAATATTGTTTTTAGATTTAGGGTTTTTTGTATTACCGCTTAATCAGGCTGTAAAATTGGGTTAATTATGAAGTTGGTCATCAAAATATCATATTAATTAATATTTTTAAGATACATACAAATTGGTCACCAAAATTGATTTAAGAATATTAGGTTAAACATAAATGAACGCACATAAACGAACATAACTAAACGCATATAAACGAACATAACCGAACGTTCACGAACGTAAATGAACGAACGAGGCCTATATTCATGTTCGTTCATTTAATTAAACGAACACAAAATCTTGTTCATGTTCGTTCATTTAATAAATAAACGCACATAAACGAACTTCCCGCCGTACGGTTCGTTGAACGTTCAGTTCATTTACAGGCCTAATTGATACCCTTGATTCATTTTCTTTGGTTACTTCTTTTTTAGTTTGTACATATTTTTCGTTGTCTCTCTCTACCTCTTGTTGTCTACCATTTCCACAATTTATTGCCTATTTCTGCGTCATAAAAGGGGAATTTTACATGGAAAAATATGCCATATATTCAATCCATATCAGTATAGATTCAGAAAGTCAAGTTTTTACTGTAATAAGAGCTAAAACATAACAAGTTTCAGTTTCAAGACCAAACTCCGAAAATGGCAAAACTTTCGAGATAATGTTCTGGAAAAAATCAATTCACGAGATAAAGCACTCACAAGATTAATTGCTCAAATAAGGTGAAATCCACAGTGTTGGCCGTAGGTCGCCATGCCTTCCGGGCGACCTACTAGGTCGCCATGTCTTACCGACGAGCTACAAGAGATTGCATGTGCCATGCACGTCCCAACACGCTGGGTATCCGAGGCCATCCGACCGAGGCCATCCGAGAGCATTCGAGGCCATCCGAACGAGCTATGCAAGGGCATCCGAGGGTAACCGAGCGAGCTATGCAAGGGAATCCGAGGGCAACCGAGCAAGGGTAGGTCGCCCGGAGTGCATGGCGACCTACAAGGTCGCCCGGAGTGCATGGCGACCTACAAGGTCACCCGGAGTGCATGGCGACCTACAAGGTTGCCCTGAGGGCATGGCGACCTATGTGTTGGGATGTGCATGTGCCATGCAACACGTTCATTCTCTCTGTTTGAGCAATGGTAGGTCGCCCGGAGTGCATGGCGACCTACGGCCAACACTGTGGATTTCACCCTATTTGAGCAATTAATCTTGGGAGTGCATTAGCTCGTGAATTAATTTCTTCCAGAACATTATCTCGAAAGTTTTGCCCTCCGAAAATTATCCTAAAACCAAACATCTGGTTTGAGTCTAAAGAGTCAAGTGACAACCTATGACATCAACAAAGCTGAATGACGGTCGGTTCCATAAGGCAGCCTGAGAGAGTCTGTCTAGACAATTAAGCCCTTGTTTCTCCCTAATCAAGGGATGCCTCAATGATACAAGGCTGTTTACATACGGGACATATGTAGTATATGCAATACATGGACGTACGCATAATTTATAGTTAGAGGAAAATTTTGAATTTGTGAAGTTTTAGGAAGACGAATTTGAAATTATAAAATGCATAAAAAAATTTAAAATATATTATAATTTTAAATTTTCAAGAGATGATTGGCTCCACCCGTCTCCATCGGTCCATTCTTATGCACCACTTTTTGTGTTTTATAAGCGAAGATAGATCTAGGTGGGCAGGTGGACCCCTAAAAATTTGAAATTTTAATATGTTTTAGATAAAAAAATTATTTTTTATTCTTAAAATTTTATAAGTTCGCCTCAAACATAAAATATTGAGTTTGTTCCTTTTATAAATTTCACCTTGTCTTGTCAAGCATGATATGAAGTCACATAGTCCCAAGTACAACTATCAGAACTAGGGGCAATAAGTAGGATTTAAATTGTGTTATATTTACTGTTTTTTATTGTGTTATATTTACTGTGATTGCAGATATCGCTATTGCCACCGCTAACGCTATATAACGGGTGCTATTTAAATTTTTGGATGTCAGTTGAGTTGAGCAGCTCGTGAGTAGTTCAAATTCGACTCGATTAATCTTAAATTCAAGTTGAGTTCATTTGAATTGGAGTTCGACTTGAAATTTTAACAAATCAAATCAAACAAGGTCTTACTCGACTCAATGAACTTGCAAGCATCTCGTTATTTTTTTTTAATCTTTAAGATATTGATTGTCCTATTTTTTAATAGGATATTTTAAATGAGATAATTTTAAAATATAAAAAGGACAAATTTAATGGAACAAGAAGAATATATTATATGGGATTTAGCCAATAATAACAATAAACAAAAGAACTCGATCTCTCTCATGTTATCCGGGGATGAAGCTACTACACAGTTAAGAAAAGCTATTGCCCCTAATTTTTTTTTTGTATAATGGTATTTTAGGCCCTGTTTAGTTTAAATGTTAATTATATAAAATCTTTGGCCCAATCAAATTTTAAACTTAATACTCAATAAATCCTCATTTTTTTTTATAAATAATAATTCTACCCCTTGATCCTAATGTTATCTGCATTGATTTTTAAAAATATCATTTTAGAAGGTGATTCAATTATGTCATGTTGTATGGATGTCCTAACTAAATTCTAATCAATGCAAGTAACCGACAAATCATTATAGGCCCCGAGCTGTCAACATAAACTTTATAGTTATGCAGTAATCTGGATTCTTACTGATGAATCATATCCTGCCACAATTATAACTCTTTGAAACTCTTCTCCAGTGTTTTTTGTACCTACTCTTCTTTTCTCCAGTTTTTTTCTTATTCTACTTTTCCAGTTAAACAAACATGAAAACAAAGAAACTAGTACCCATGATGATCGTTGAAACTATAGGAGATAGTGAACATCCTTTTCTAATCTCCATATTCATAAATAAGCAAGGGAAAAACTGTCCACCAGCATCTTTGAATTTATGAAAAAAGAAAGGATCAAGTGCAATATTAGGTTAGCTAGGTGACGTGATACACATCTGATTTTATCCATTAAAATCAGATATTGAGGGACAGGTGAATGAACTCAATGATAAGAAAATATTATTCTTAGTAGACATGAATTCAAACAGTTGTATCTGCAATCAAAATTGATTAATTTAGAATTATACATGAGCATCTAACTTTTTTTATGTGAAAAGAATTGTAATTAAGCTTTGAATGGCTGCTACAGTATAGGTCATGATATATGTGCAAAACTTCTACTCTTCATGAAAGTAGCCATTGGGGGGGAGAACAAGTGATAGTGTAGTTAGTAGGAATAGTTAAAATGTGTACGTTAAAAGGGTGTGAAAAGGGTGGCATGGTGCCGAAAGATGAACGTCTAGTGGCCGACGTGTGATGAAGATGACGAGAAGCAACTAGAATTAATAAATTTTGGATTAGAATTGCTAGAAGATGAAGAGGATATAAACTGATTTTTACTAATAAAAAATGAATCAAAGGTATCTTGGCCCTTTACAAGTGTAAGGCTTGTATAGCCTCTAACTACCCAGCTAACAAATTCTTAACAATCTAATAGCTATTTGTTTCATCTAACAAAGGGTGTCGAAGTGCTGACGAATCATTCTCCTGATGTGATTCCAATTACCATGTAAATTGTGGGAGTTCATTAAAACCATAATTCTGTTCCCTTGGTATTGAGTGGATAAAGTGAAAAAAAAAAGCGTATTGTTCTTTTAGAGGGTTCAGATACGAGCAGTTGCCTACTGCCACTATAAGGTGTTTGTGAGTTCTGGGCAAATAGATGCAAAATGTGTGGCACCATCCACCAATCGATTCATTGCCATAACCAATAGCAGCCAATGCGTCTTTACTATTTGTTTTCACAACAACTTGACTCAAACCCAAACTCCATGTCAAAAAAAGCCCTAAATTTTTTTCCAAAGTTCTGCGTCGAGAACCGAACATCGACCAATTGCTTTAGTAAAGCCGCTGATCCGATAACGAAATTACTCGCATGATCACGCGAAACTCCTCCACTATCAAAGCTTATTATTGAGTAAGGCTTAGTTTGTTTTCACTGTACAACATCTTCAAACTTCTTATGTCTGCACCGCGCATACATTAGGCTTCGCAGACCGTTTGTTTTTTAGAAGACAGAAGTTCTTCTAACGTCTGTGTGAGCTCTTCTTGGTACAGCCATTGTTTTATGTCTTCAAAGGTCTTCAAACATCTTCAAGAACAATTATAAAATATGGTTATTTATTAAAATAATTTAATAAGGTTATTTATTTTAAAATAATTTATTATAAAATAATTTATTTTAAAATAATTTATTATAAAATATGGATTGATTTATTTTAAAATAATTTATTTTAAATAATTTATTAGTATGGATTGATTTATTTTAAAATATGGATTGATTTATTTTAAATAATTTATTAGTATGAATTGATTTATTTTAAAATATGGATTGATTTATTTTAAATAATTTATTAGTATGGATTGATATATTTTAAAATATGGATTGATTTAATATTGTAGTTGTATGGATTGATTTATTTTAAATAATTTATTAGTATGGATTGATTAAAATATGGATTGATTTATTTTAAATAATTTATTAGTATGGATTGATTTATTTTAAAATATAGATTGATTTATTTTAAATAATTTATTAGTATGGATTGATTTATTTTAAAATATGGATTGATTTATTATTGTAGTTGTATAGATTGATTTATTTTAAATAATTTATTAGTATGGATTGATTTATTTTAAAATACGGATTGATTTATTTTAAATAATTTATTAGTATGGATTGATTTATTTTAAAATATGGATTGATTTATTTTAAATAATTTATTAGTATGGATTGATTTATTTTAAAATATGGATTGATTTATTTTAAATAATTTATTATTGTAGTTGTATGGATTATTTAAATTTCAGTATTGTAAAACTAAAATTATTTAAATCTCAGTATTGCAAAACTCTTTTAAGTTTAAAAAATCAGTTTATTTATATTTCAGTTCATTTTAGCAGTCTGCAGACGTTAAAAAACAAACAGTCTTCTTCTTGCAGACTGTAGACTTTTGGTCCACCTCTTCTGCTGCAGATGTCTGCAGATGTGATCCGCAGACTGCAGACCTTTTACCTCTGCAAAAACAAACACCACCTAACTATCATTGCTTCCACTACCACACTTATCGAATCCGTGATCATCATATTTATCGTCACCCCAATTATGATGGTCAAAGCTAATTGCCTCAGAGCACTAATGCAAGGGGGAAGGAACTGTTTGTAAGTAGAACAATGCATATTGACATGAAAAATGGTGTCTCGTCGAAAGACACACACATTTCTTATAATGAAGTCAGTCACGAGGAGGAAGACTAGTTGGCATGTCACAACCTAAAATTAGGATTAATAGTTTTTGCCTTTTAATTTGGGGACTGGATCAAAAGAAAAATTAAATTTAGAGGCTAAATTGAAATTTTCAGTGAATTTTAGGACCTAATTGAAACCGTTGGAGAATTTTATAGCCATTTCAAAAATAGAGAAGGGTTCAAGGACCTATAACGTCATTTACACAATTTCTTCTCAACTTGCAAAGGGAAAATTGTAAAAATGTCCTCTATGATTATGATAAACTACTTATTTAGTCATTCAACTATTCTTACAGTTTTATTTTAGCCACCAAACTATTTTTTTCAAAAGCATCACTAACTTATATTTTTATTCTATTTTAGTCACTCATTGTTAAAAAATTAATGGTGATGCTGACATGTCATCATAAGGTAATATCATGTCATTATTTTAAAAAAATGCCATGTTAATAATTATTTTTATTTTTATAATGATAGAGATCAAAATAGAACAAAAATATAAATTTAATGATACTTTTGGAAAAAAAAAAGTTAAATGACTAAAACAAAAACAACAACAATAATTGAGTGACTAAATAAATAACTTATCCTTGAATTCAAAATAAATTTATTTTGCAATTATGGAGATTTCATTTCATATCTTAAAGAGAAATTGGTAGAATAATATCCTTGTGCTAAAAATATTTGGGATATAGAGTTGGTGATAAATTATTTAAAAATATATGACATTTGCTAAAATAAATTAGGGAGTTTTCATGACGAATTTTTTATAAAATATAGTTTTTTTTGTTAAAATTTGTAATGTTCACATGACGAGTTATAATAAAAATATATTTATAAAAAAAACTAACAAAATTTATCATATTCACATAATAAATTTAATAAAAATATATTTTATATTAAATTTTATAAATTTTTAAATAATTTTCACATTCTTTATTTTTTGCCCACAATATTTTATAATTTTACCCCCAAAAAAATAGTCAATTCAATCCTTTTAAATTAATAATCATAGTAGCCACCCACAGTCCAAACCTTCTCTCTCAAAAAGTCTTTACTCTTTCCTTCTTAAGACCCTTTTGCACCCTTTTATATCTTTCAAACTACTCCCCTTCCCTTCAACTACCCCCACTCTCTCTTTCTTTTCCTTCGTCTCCTTCTAAAAGGAAATAAGAACCCTACAAATTTCCAGTTTGATGGGTATTGATGATGTGTGTAATACAGGCCTTGTTCTTCGGTTAGGCCTTTTATCGTCCCTTGGAACTCCATCCAAGGCCAACGATCAAACTCCCAAGAAATCATCATGTTTTGAATTACCATCGTTAACGTTGGGGCTTTCTGGTGAGAGATACCATGTTAATAACAATAGCAAAGAGATTGATGATGTGAACAGAGGTGGTGCTTATGGTTATCTTCATCAGCAGGAGGTTTCTGCCGTCGCCGCCGTCGGTGGCGGTTTGTATCGACAGGCTTCTCCTCACAGTGCTGTTTCTTCATTTTCTAGTAGTAGTGGTAGGGTGAAGAGGGAAAGAGACGTTGGCAGTGAAGAAGTGGATGTAGAGAAGAATTCCTCTAGAGTCAGCGAAGAAGATGAAGATGGTGTTAATGCAAGAAAGAAACTCAGGCTCACCAAACAACAATCAGCTCTGCTGGAAGAAAGCTTCAAACAGCACAGCACCCTCAATCCTGTAAGCTCCGATATTAATCATCAATATCAGCTTGATTATATGTATTAGTCATATTATTTTTCAAATATTTATGCCAACAGAAGCAAAAGCTAGCTTTGGCAAAGCAATTAAACCTGAGGCCTAGGCAAGTTGAAGTATGGTTCCAGAACAGAAGAGCCAGGTAGATTCCATCATTCTTTTTGGTTCAATTATGTAAGAAATGGTGAAGAATTCTGGTTTCTGCCATGGCCAGGACAAAGCTCAAGCAAACTGAGGTGGATTGTGAGTTGTTGAAGAAGTGTTATGAGACACTGACAGATGAAAACAAGAGACTGCAAAAAGAGCTACAAGAACTGAAACTGGCTCAGCCCTTTTACATGCACATGCCGGCGGCTACTCTCACCCTGTGTCCATCTTGTGAAAGAATTGGCGATGGAAGTTCCAATAACCCATTTTCAGTATTGGCCTCAAACCCTCATTTCTGTGCTCCCTTCACCAATCCTTCTGCAGCATGTTAATTTAAATTAGTGGACAAAGAGAGGAAAACAATAGACTCTCGTAAATGAGTGGATTTCAACTGGAGAAAAACAACAATTTCTTTTCCACTGAGATGCTAATCAATCTCTACAACTATCTTCTTTTAAACACATGTTTGTAAATAATAATCATTAAAAATTAAGATATATATACTAGTATCTGTCTTTAACTCTTTATTACTTGTTCCTTAGTTCCATCTCTATGGCACATTTCTTGTTTCCATCATTTGATTTGATCATTTGAAATGAATAAAAGTTTTGATCTTTTTTTTTTTTTAAATTGACATTGTATTTTTATTGGAAAAATAAAATTTTCTGATTAGTTTTTATTTATATTTATAAGATAAAAGTGAGAAGGAGTTAAAGGGAGAAATGAGTGGTAAGAGTCGTGTTGACAAAGAGGAGTGGATGATTCACTTGAAAATCCACAAAGGGGGAAAAGAAGAAGAACAAATTGGATGTGCTCGTGAGATGCCATTTCTTCAAGGGACTGGTAGGTCATATCCCACGTGATGTCCCAATGGCTCAGTTTTTTGAAGAATGAAAGAATTTTCAATGGAGGTCTCCCCTCCTATAATTCTATTAGGTCAGCCTCTCCTCCCTAAAGTTCCCCTACTTTTAAATTTTCAAATTCCCTTCTTGAAAACTCATTATCGATAATAACATAATATTATCTTTTTAAAGATTATAAATTTCAACAATTATTATTTTTATTTTAAAAATAATTTTTCTTTTCGATTTAAAGTCCAAAATCTCATATAAAAAGCTAGATATTCCGCTATTAATAATATTTTCCATATTTTCTATGAAAATTATAATTTAAAATATAAAATAATAAAAAATCGAGATTAATCTTCTTAAGAAAATTGAATGCACAATGAAATAAATTCATAATCTAATCATGTAAAAGTGGTGACGCAATGATAGATTTATATATATATATTTAAGGATGACACTTATTTATTCTAAAATTTGAATTTTCTTTAGATAATTCTTTATTTTTTTAATTGTGTTCACTCTAAAATTTTATTTGCGCTTATCATATATGAAAATTTTATATTATTATTATAATGTGTTGACCCTCAAAAAAATATTTATGAAGATGCCGTTGTAGTGAAGTGGGATAGTTTCATGGGATGGGTTCTTACAACTCTGCAAGTAAAACATGCATGTATTCGTTATAGGCACGCTATCGTGATTGGTGTTGACAGTTTCATTACATGAATGATGATCAATTTCTCTTAAAAAAAAAGTACTAGCAGCAGCTAGCAAGTATGCATTAATTCAGAAATTTTAATATATCTTCTTAACATTGGTCGAAGCCAGAATTATAAACATGTCAACAAGTGTTTGATTTATCAGTAAAAAAATTGAATTTAAATCTTTCAAATAAAAAGCAAGTGAAGAAAGAGCAAGTTCTAGATTGGAAAAAATTGTCATACCTCCTTTTATTAAATTAATTTAAAAAAGTTCTCAATTCTAATAGCAATGATAATTAATCAATAATGTCATCTTTTACATGATTAAAGATTGTCTTACGTGTGTGCCGACGTAACTATACCTATAAAAACAATACCAATTGAAATGTGTCGCATGTACGCTAATTTGTCGGTCCATGTAGGTTTTGTCTTTTTTTATATATCAAGAGTTTGGATATGGCATTTCGGGAAAAAATATTTTCCTTTTTTCTTTATTTTGTATTCTTTTTTCGTCAATTAAGGTTTGATAGCAACCAAGATGGTTTTTAATGAAGACAGGATTATATTGAAACAACAAAGCATACAAATATAATTATTTTATTATTTATAAAACATATGAGTTGTTTTGTCTTTAAATGACGCCTCCTCCAATTATAAATTGATTGCTTGCACCAATCAACCATTCATAAGTCACTTTATCATATATATATATAAAACTACATCAAAACAGGTTTTTAGTGGCGTAACGCCGCTAAAAACCTTTGTGGCACAAAAACAAACGCCGCTAAAAGCAACTCTGAAACAAACGCCACAAAAGGTAGCGGAGTTCTTTTTACAAATGCCATTAAAGATTATGATATTTAGTGGCGTTTGTTCCTAAAAGTGCCGCTAAATGTTCTGACATATAGTGGCGTTTGTTCCTAAAAATGCCGCTAAATGTTATGTCATATAGTGGCGTTTGTGAATGTAAAACGCCGCTATTGATTACGTATATAGTGGTGCTTTCTGTATAAACGCTGCTAAATATTTTTTATTAGTATAATTTATTTAAATGATAATATCGTAAAAATCCTTATTAACCTCTTATTTGCTTATTGAACGCTTAATTGTAGATATAGTTGTAGGTTAAATACTCACGATACGTCACGTTGTAAGAAATTAGCTTCTAAATAATTTAATTTACAAAATACAAATTTAAATATCTAATTAAATTATTTACAACCTTTCAAAAAAATTGTTTACTTTCTAAAAAATAACTTAAAAGGAAAAGTTTATGTAATACATGAGGAAAATGTGTGTTTTAACAACTTTTTAACTAACAACAATATTAGAAACAGTTGGTATATGTTACAAGCTAAATGAACTAATTCAATTAAATCTCACAAAAATTATAAAAATTTGGAAAATTAATAATACTGTATATTACCAATGAAAAAGATTAAATGAAATTTTTCTCTTCCGATTATTCTCCACCTAAAAAATTTGATCTACAATATGAACGTGAAATGGTTCTTCGTTCTACATATCTATCGACAGTGTATTCAATTAGGAAATGCCGATGCTTAAGAAGCCAAAGTCAAGGAAATTTCTAGCGAGTAATTTAAAAGCTTATGATGCTGACTAGGAATTTTTACTTCATGATGATACATCTTCAATGGCACTACCTAGGGGCCAAGCAGATTCAACGAAGGAATTCCGGTATTTCACTTTCTTCACCAATGTAATACATTGGTAGGGATCAAGTCCTTTCCAAGAAAAAATGATAGGATGGGTTAATGAGAATCCTAAGATACTTATGAAGTACAAAGTTCATACATGAATTCGATTCCAAGATTATAGGCTTACCAAATCCATAAACAAGTAGGGTGTACTCGTACACCAGATCCATGCATATATATGGCAGGTTATTCTCGCCCAAATCTTTATATGTACTTGTACACCAGATCCATGCAAATACCTCAACAGCTCTATCGAAGAAAAATGAAGCAATAAGCAGATTCTTCTGTCCATCTCCACCTCCGCCATTCCATATGCCACCAAATGTGCACTTAATATGCGCGCACGGATCATTTACTTTAAGGGCCTTGAGAGTCACCCTCCTGCATTCTTCCATACTTGAACCAGATGACAGTGCGGATGTTTTATATTCTTCTCTTCCATATTGATAAGTACCTTAGAAAGATGAAATGCCCAATATGTTAAGTACTGAAATGGCAAATATCCTTGAACTATTCCATTATTCAGAGCATTCAAAGTGTTTTGGAATAGAGAGATGGACTACAATTTTGAGTAGAGTTCATTGTCTGGTTAATTGCCAAAGATTACATTTTCACTGATCAAAGCACTAAACTTTGTAGAGTTCATTGAATCCGTATATCAGGTTCGCCATATGTAGCCCAAATAATTAAAAAAATGCTCTTTGTAGAGTTATAGTTGTGACCAAACAAATTCAAATATACCATCAAAACCCTCCAACATACAAGGGTTCCCAGACTCTTCAGATACCTTCAAAATTTCTGCTCGAGCTGCCAATAAGCCATAGTGCAAATAGTTGCTCACGAAAAAGCCAGAAGTATACAAGTAAAACATATAATTAGAAATCTCAATATAAATATGTTCTCATGGCTCATGAGACTACATAATTATATGACTGAATGGAGACACGAATAATAAAATTGACCACTAAATAATAGAATCCTAATTTGTCAAAATAAGGGCACCTGTGAACATAAAGGTGCTACTTTGATCCCTTCAGATACATTTCATTTACATAACTGTCCTGGCCAGCTGGTAAACTTGGAGACCTTGAAGCGGCATTCTTAGAGATGGCATATACCATTTGAACCCTTATCATAACAATTTATCATAACAAATAAGGGTATGGTATGTTTTTCCAATCATTTGCTTCCGTGAAAATTCATCTAAAAGAAAGCTTAATCAGGGCCTGATTTTGAACAAAGCTTAATCAACGAATAGCAATCAAATAACTTAACCCGGACAAAATTTGATGTCTACAACCAACTAATTGATCGATTATGAATAAATAACTAAACAACGTGTACTATAAAAGTAAAATGATTGACTTGTGTTATCTAAATGCTAAGTAAAACTCTTCAAATTCTATTTTCTCCTAAAATATTATGCTTCTGCAATTAAAAACAAAAAGTATAAAGCATAAACTACGCCATTTATGAACAAAGACATCAAATAAGATCAAGACGAAGCAATAAGTTAAAAGACGGGACCTTCGTCCAGTATTTAGAGAAGTGAGGACAGTGTTGTACTCGGAGACATTGTCAGCGTAGTTCCGTTTGGCTTTTTCTACAGTTAAATCTGAAAACTGGCGTCGACCCAGTGCTCGAAGCAGTGTCCTGTTTTCAACAACAACAACAAATACATGAAACGAAACGAGATAAGCAATCGGTTCGATCAACCTCCCAAATGGGAGTATTGGGTATCTGTAAAGTTTTGAAACTTTTACCGGAACTGGATCGAAAGAGGAACTTCATTGGTGAAAACAGAGTGAAGAACAGTAAAGGGTTCTTCTTTTGCTATGTTTTGCTCCAAAAAAACCCTAGTTTTCTAATACACTATTTTCCTATTTTTGTTATAATCGAGAAAAAAACTGTGCGTTTCGATAATGAATTTTTTTCGAGGGACTCTCAGGCAAGTTCAAGTGGATCAACGTCTCTGCTGATATATCTATATTTATACTTCTCCTTAAATAAGGTGTATGCATGGGACCATTAAGTAATTTTATTGATAAAAAAATAATATTATTCTTCTTAAAAAAATTATAGGACGGAGTAGTTGCGTGTACAAAATTTACTAGGTAGGGAAAAAGAAATTACCTGCTCAAAAAGCACTAAATCAGAACCAATTGGAACAAGATCCAAATTTGAGATCGGAGTATAAGCACCATTGGAACCAAAATGTTATAAGCACGATTTGGGGTCAGTGTTGGTTTGTTTAGCAATCGAGATCGGAGCATGGCCACCGATAAGTGGTGGTCGATGAGTGGCCAGTGACGTTAGAGTGAAATCCTTGGACCATTGTAGAGTCGGCCGAGAGAGAAGGGAGGTGAGATTTGAGAAATTTCTCAAAAGCATGAGGCCGCTGAGAGTGGAGTTTAGGGCTAGGGTTTGCTAAATTTGGTTAAATGTGGTGTATATATATATAAAGGCCAGTACGAGTATTTCACGGTGTTTGTATAAAAACACCACTAAAGTATAGTATTTAGCGGCGTTTATATAAAAACGACACTAAAATACGAGTAATTAGCGGCGTTTGTTCTTAAAACGCTTCTAAAGTACGAGTATTTAGTTGTGTGCTTAAAACGCCACTAAAGTACGAGTATTTAGCGACGTTTGTGCTTAAAATGCCACTAAAGTACGAGTATTTAGCAACATTTATGCTTAAAACGCCACTGAAGTACGAGTCTTTAGCGGTGTTTGTATAAAATGCCACTAAAGTACTAGTATTTAGAGGCATTTATATAAAAGCGCCACTAAAATATGAGTTATTGGCGATGTTTTTGTACAAACGCCACTAAAGTATAGTATTTAGTGGCGCTTATGCTTAAAATGCCACTAAAGTACGAGTATTTAGGGCGTTTGTACAAAAATGCCACTAAAGTATAGTATTTAGCGGCGTTTATATAAAAACGCCACTAAGTACGAGTTTTTACTGGCGATTATTCAGAAAACGCTGCTAAAAATACCGTTAAAAACCCATTTTGGTGTATATATATATAAAAGAGATTGTCAAGATCAAATAATTCATGATCTCTGATCATGTCGTTATTGTATTCAAAGAATGACCAAAAATCTATCTTAAGGAAATTGTACAATTACATAACTAGTTTCCAATTTGTTATTCGAATTCTTTACTCTGAATTGTATCTTCTCTTTTATTAATAAAATTCTTTTTTTTATTTTTATCTCGGATTGTTATACTGTAAAGCATATGTGATCCCTTGAAATCTAGAACAATTCTCACCTTCATACCAAACAAGCTAGACCAAATATCAAAGACCATTACCGCATTTGAACCTTGTTGTTGGATAGTTGGTTTTCATAAAACCGTTAGAATTCTTGACGCCATACATGCTGAATTATGGATTATTTTTTTTGGATTACAGTTTGCTAGGTAATAGGGTTCGAGATAATCAAGGTCCAATCAGATTCGAAGCAATCCGTTTGTATGATCAATGACAGAAATGCCGCTTCCTCTTCCTCATCTCTAATTCGTGCAATTATCAGAATTCGATCAAAAGGATGGATGATAGATATTAGATATCACGTGTTGAGAATCATATTGTCGATGCCATTGCAAAGCTTTCAATCTCGCCATCACACTATATGACGATCTTCCACGTACCTCCCAAAGCGATTCAGCGGCTGCTTGATATAGACTGCATTAGTCCATTTCCTTGTGAGCCTAATCCTTATACTTGGGATCTTTACTCTTTGAGATTAAAAAAAAAAAAGCATTACCTTATTTGTCATTGCAATTGATTTTTTTATTTCGACCAAAAAAAATTAAATACAACAAAACAATTGTATGAAACAAGCTACACCAATGATCATTCCAACATTAATCATGGTAACGCTAAATTTAGAGAACAATATCTTCTTCTTCATCATCCTTTAATTGTTGGAATCAAACTTGATTCTTTTAGGTTGACAACAAGTCGGCAGCAAGCTTATAAACAGCTTGTAGCAACAAGTGGCAGCAGCTTAACTTACAAATGATGGGTTGATAGCATGTGGAAATTACATGGTATGGTAAAGATATTCAAGGCAGCAGCTAAGGATTAAGAGAGTTATCCAACATGTGACAAATTAGGTGGCAGCACACTAAACAATAAGTCGCAGCAAGGATTAAAAACATGGCAGCAAAACACACATGGAAATTAAACATGGAAACAAGCAAAATAATCAAGTTACAACAAAGTCAAAGGTGGCAGCAATACTTGGCAGCAACATGGAAGCAGTTTAATTAATGCTTAATGATCAAGGAATTTAAGGCGGTAGAATGATAGATCTAGAATTTTTCATTAGGCGGTTTATTATGCTTATATATATGTTTTGTGTTGGCTTTAGTTTTATTAATGAATGAGTAGCAAGGAAAGAAAGTCGAGATAAAAAAGGGTGAAGACCTTAGCAAAGCCTTTGGTGTGTGATATTTACAAATTAGCCGTAGCTAGTGTTTGTATTTATTGTGATGGTGTTGTACTGTATTTTGTATTAATAATTTCATACAAATTATTATAATTTATCGTGTTGTATTGCACTTTTAACATTAATAATATGGATTTTATATATTTTTAAGTCTAATTTAGCCTATTAATTTTATATTGTATCGAATCGAGCATGTTTAAAGTTTAACCAATATATTTTTAAGTCTAATTTAGCCTATTAATTTTATATTGTATCTAATCGAGCATGTTTAAAGTTGGAACCAAGATAAAAATTGGATAAATTATACAAATGTTCATGAAGTTTGAGTAAGTGTCCACTTTCTTTACTCGTATTAAAAAATTAACAATTTAATTATTAACATTAATTATCAATTTATAATAAATCGATCATTAAGGATCATTATTAGGGTAACATAATGAAGTTGACGAAGCTTTGGAATTTTGACAGAGAAATCCCAAGTTTCATAAGTATCGTCTTATTAATTTGTTAGGCATGAGAGTTATTAGGAGGATTCGAAGTTTAACAACCATATATTATAATCTAGTGTTTTTCACTTTGTTACGATTTAAAAATCATGTGATGTAGTCTACATGAGATTGGTATTTATGAATCTTAATTTACACCTTAAATTTTGTAATTACAGAAGAGATAACAATACGATATTTCCCGGTTAATTAGTCTATTCTATATTTTCCTTTCTAATTTAAATTATGAAGAAATTGTGTCTAAAAAGTTAAATTGTGAAGTATTATTAAGAGTAATTTTGTCATATTATTGTTATCTTTTAATAATATCGATGATTATAATATAATATCTATTCATAACTTTTTAATCTATCGATAATATACGCCGTGTAAATATCATCGTTTGAATCCAAAATCTTTAGAAAGAATAATATTTCTTTTGCCATTAAAATAATTTTATAAGTTACATAATTTCTAAATTGTTGGAGTGAATTTCAAAAATTATTGTTACATCAAATGTAAGGTTGATTCTATTGGAAATATATTCAAAGAACGATAAGATACTTGAACTGATGAGAGACAATTAAAAACTTTTATGATAATCGCATTGAATATGTTTTTATAATTTTTTTAAATATTTGTGATTATTATAGTTTTTATAATTTTTAGTATATTTTAATTTTTTTCTTACAAACTTATTTTCATTTTTAATAAATTTTAATAGTAGATTTCTAATTTTTTTAAATTTTAAATTGTTATAAGTAATTTTCAATATTTTCATGTTTTTATTAAAAGGTTAAATAAACTCTTCTATTTAAATAGATATAATTTTAAAATTTGAGAACTAAATTAGGTAGATTTTCTTTTTTTTTCGCAGGCTCCATCTTTCTATCTGCCATTTGACCCTCTAAAAAGGAAAAAAAAAAAAAAAATCAGGCTATGGACGACATGGCTGCCTACTACCCTCCACCCTCAGGTCATCTCCCTCCGAACTACCCTTATTACCAAACCCCTCCTCCTGCAGTTACGCCGCCCCTTCCACCTCCACCTGGTGCCGCGGCGCCATCGCTCCATTTCCACTCCTACCTCCTTCACCCTCAACAGCAACCGCCGTTACCCCCACCTCCCCCTTTCCCCTCTTATTCCCTTCCTCACGTCGCTGCATATTCTTCCCATGACTCCGTTCGGACTCTCTTCATCGCCGGCCTTCCCGAAGACATCAAGCCCCGCGAGATTTACAATCTTTTCCGCGAATTTCCTGGTTATGAATCTTCTCATCTTCGGAGCCCTAACACCTGCCAAAATTCTCAGGTCCTCTCTTGTTGCGTAAATTCTATAATATTGTTCTTTCTTTTTCTTAATATTTGACATCCTCTGGTTCGGGTTGTTTCAGCCGTTCGCTTTCGCTGTTTTCTTGGACCAACAGTCTGCACTTGCCGCGATGCAGGCGCTTAATGTAAGATTTTCATGCTATTATCGTATTTGGAATTGTATTCCAACTTGTAACTTTTTAATTAGAGCAATTGAACTTGTGAATGAGTACGAAATTGGCATTGGAAATTGTTTTACAGGGAATGGTGTTTGATCTGGAGAAAGGATCAACTTTGTTCATTGATTTCGCAAAATCTAATTCTCGATCAAAGCACCCAAGAACAGGTAGACGAGTGCTCTATTTCTTATTTTTAATTTAGTCAGCAATATGGTCATTTGCATGTTTGAAATTATCTGAACCTGAATAGTATATACTTGGTTTGGTTATGACAAATAGACGAGGAATGGACCAGCTCCAATAAGAAATCGAGGGGATCATTTCCGAGGCCTACCATTGATCCGAGTAAGATAATAACCTAGAATTCTAATTGGACTTTTTTGTGTGCCCATGTTCTTTTAAGCTTCATGTTCATTGCCTTTTTGTATGGTTAAATTACTCGATCTTTGTTGTCTACTGCTCACATAATGTTGCACTTGGAGTACAAATTAGTTACTCACATGGAGGACACATTCGCCTAATGCTCACATTGCACATGTTTTACACGTTTGGACACTAGCAGGTTGTCGAAGCATTCACGTGTCTGGAGTGGGTAATTCTGCTTACAGCATGATTGGTTATCCAACTGCACAAAGGTCATCTGCACTACTTGAGCACATTTTTATTACATGGAAGTGATTGCTTCTAAATGAATTAGCATGTTTACTTTAAATGAAAGGTCGTCTAGGGCTCACGCCTTGTTACCCAATGTTGAAGTAAATGATTTTCTTTTGAGATTTCTGCTTCTCTAATACTTCGTTTCACAATTGTTCAGTTCTGGAAATGTTGATGCTAATGCTGAGTCAGCAGCTATGAAAATGGTACAAATGATCCAGCTTTTTGCTTAAATATGTGTATGAAGATACATCACATAGTTTCTCTTTTCCCTTTTGTTTTGGAGGTTATAGGAAACTCGTCTACATCATTCCTGCTTACAATATTGTCATGTGTCTTTTATCACTAATTCATTGTACCGAGGAAATAATATAAGATCTTTTATCTAGACGCAAATTTAGCCGACACATTCATAGAACCTCTTGAATAATTTATTATCACCCCCATTCTCTTCATCTTGCCAGCCCATATGGCTCATGAAAGAATTCCTATTGAAAAAGGATAAACCCAGACTAGCATATCATGCTTGCAATTGAAATAATAATTGAGTCTATTTGTAATAAACCTAGGAACAAAGAAAAGAAACTGTGGAGTAAAAGATAACATTTTTCAACCATGTAGTGAATCTCATCAATGGAACATAACTTGTTCAGCAAAGTATTATTGTTTTAGTGATAAACTTTATTTAATTTGAAATAATGACTTGATAGCCTTATTAAAATGACTTTTTCATCTACATTAGTATAATTCTCTCCTCTCGTAAATGCAGACTGCAGACCCATGTCCAACACTTTTTGTGGCTAATCTTGGGGCAAGTTGTACAGAGGAAGAACTAATTCAAGTATTTTCAAGGTAAAAGGAGATTGTTTTGCCATGCATAATGTGTTCATTATGCGTCACTCTTTATTGCTTCTGTCAGATGCCCTGGGTTTCTGAAGCTGAAAATGCAGGGTACATATGGAGCTCCAGTTGCATTTGTTGATTTCCAGGTACGTGATTTCTCTCTTGTTCTACGCTGTTTTCCATTTTGTTTCCTCCTGGTCCCAGTTTTTGACATACTTTGTTATATATTCTACTATATCTTTGTTTCTTTAATAATTTGTGGATTTCTGTAATTTGCATGTACAAATGATCTCCACTTCTCTTAGCATTGCAAGTAGAAGCCATGAACTTTACAACCTTTTCTTTTTGTCCTTTATTCTTTTCAAATATAAACAAACGAGCTTACAGTCATAATATGAAATGCTGTATACAGGATACTGCTTGTTCAACTGGGGCAATCAACTCTTTGCAAGGGATGATTCTATACTCATCGCCAGCTGGGGACGGCATGCGTTTGGAGTATCCTTCGACTATAAGCTATGTGTACTTTTCATTGCATTGCATTTCATTCCTTCTGAGTTTTTAGGTTTAGCTTAATGAGCAATCCAGATATGCAAAATCGAGGATGGGAATGCGAAGGAAACGAAGGTAAACAGCATCGAGCAGAGTCGGGTTTGCAGCAGTGACAATGGAAGAACTTCCTGGCAAGCCAGCCCTTCATATCCTAAAAACTTGTTATTTATGGTATCAAAGTATTACAGGATCAGTTTTGGTTTTGGCTCCACTTATTAAAACTACTTTTACACTTCAAATTTATTACTATAGTTCATTCAAATTGCTAACAACGTTTTTACGATAACTTTTCTCGCTACTTAGAACTCTTTACTTGGAATGTTGTCTAAAATTACATAAAAATACTAATAAAAAGCTCACACAACAGACGGTGATTAAACTGTTCGGTTAAATTATAAAAACTAAAATAAAATGTATATTTTTCTCATTTTGTACATGTATGGTTGGATTAAAATTAAATGATTAAAATTGTATTATATTGAATGTAAAAGCTATAATTTTATTGGTACTTTTCATTGCATTGAATAACAATATATATATATATATATATTAAAAGGTAAGTCCAGTTTATAATAGAGCTTCTTATAGCGTGACTAGTTTGTGAACTGTTTGTGTAGCATTAATTTATGTTTGTTTATCAAAGTAAATAAATGAGTATAAATAAATTGTGTGTTTATTTAGTAAATGAACACGAATAGAGGTATGTTAGATTCGTTTATGTTTGTGAACAAGTTAGTTTATCGATTCATTTCTAAGTTTGTTTATAAATTTTTCTATTGACTTGGTTATGAGTTTGTTTACTTGTTTTTTTTTTCCTTTTTTTTACATTTAAATATTATGAAGGTAGGGACTAAACTGTATATTAGGTGAACTTTGGAGTTCAATCTATGAAGCTTAAGGAAATTAAGGATTTGTGGTGTAATTTTGCTATTTTCTTTGGCTTGTAAATAAAAGTATAATCTTGAAAGATTATTTTGTCTCTTGTAAATGCCAAAATGAATTATTTTTAGCGAAAAATATTTATTAGTTTTAAGTTTTAATATTTTTATAGATCGTTTATCATTAATTTTTAAATAAAAATTAGAAAGTTTTTTTATTAAGTTTAATCTTGAAATCTTCCAAAATAAAAATATAAAGATAAAAGTTTAATTAAAATAAAATTTTAATTATAAACTTTAGTCACGTAAAAGTATAGTCGCAAATTTACACATAATTATTTTACAATGAAAAGTTGGATTAAAATGATAGTTTTTTTCCTTTAATCTAATAATAAAAAAATAGCAATATTATTATGTATAAATAAAATGATACATAAAAAGAAAAAAATAGTAGCATTAGTCAGATTTATAATAAAATTTTGAAATAATTTTTAAATATCATAAATGAATTAAAGTTACCTAATTAATAAATTAAGGTTAAAGTACATAAATAGATCATTAAATTGTGTTAGAATAATTTTTCATAAAATTTCAAAAGTAACAAAATATCATTAACTTCTCAAACATTACAAAATGATCACTAAAAATAACGTTTAAACTTATCAAAAGTTATCACTATTTTATAACATATAATGAGAATTTTATAATAATTTAATAAATTTAATGATTATTTTATAATTTTAAAAACTTTAATAACTGAAAAATCATTTCAACATATTTTAGAGATTATTTGTGTATTTTAACAAAGAATAAAATTATGATATAATTTTACCTTAAAATAGAATACAGTAGCACCTATGGCCTAATGGATAAGGCGCTTGACTTCTAATCAAGCGATTGTGGGTTCGAATCCCACTGGGTGTGTATATTTTAACTTTTTTCCTTTCTCATAAAAAACCCAACGGCTAAATTCAATCTTAAGCATCGGAGAAGGACAGCTATAAGGCTGTAACCAAATCCATATTTGTGCTCCATTTGACCGAGCTATCCCCTTAACCAAACCCAAAACCACTGAATCAACCCCAGTAAAAGTACAAATAATAATAACAATTTATTTGATATAATTATAAGATAATATATGCTTTAAAAAAATTAACTATGTATATTACATATACACTCTCCATACTCAATTATTTAAATTTAAATGTTTTAAAAATAATATTTTTTATCATTGAAATCACTCAATGAACTCAATACATATTATATATAATTCATTTTATTAATAGCTCTTAAATCACTAGTACCATTATTTACCATAAAATTATTTTACTATGCATTCTAAACATTTTTTTTCTAGAATCTATCAAGTGATCTTAATAGTTAGAGGGAGTATAATTCTCCCTAAAGGTCATAAATTTGAGTAATTGTGTACGCATGGTGTGTATTGTCAAATGGTTAAGAAAAATATTAATTGTAATCATCTTAAACTATTCAAAAAAAATATTATTTTACCCCACCCAAATAGGAGTGTTGGGTAAAGCTACACAATGGTGGTGACAATTAATGAGAATAAGTATTTTACTCGTGTTTTAATTTAAGAAAATAGAACAAGAAAACTAAGAGTTTGTTTGGTTTAAGAAAATGTATATTTTTTCATTTTATTTTCTTAAAAATATAGAAAATTATTAAGAAAACATGTTCGGTTGTAAAATCATAAAATAATTTCTGAAAAATAAAAATAAGCGAAAATATGAAAATTAAAAAAATATTTTAAGTATTTTCATTGAAATTATTTTGAAAATTTAAAAAAATAAGAAAACAAATAATTTTTTTTTTAATTTAACTTACCCGTGTTTAAATCTTTTAACAACAATTTTTTATTTAATGGTGTTTGAAACCCTCAAACTTTTTCAAAAAAGAAAATCATTGTGTTAATGATTTTTTTTACACTCAATGTAATCTTTGAACTAAACTTTTTTAATAATTTAATTTTTAGTATTTTTATATCTAATGCAATAAATATATTACTATTGTTTACATTTTATATTTTAAATTTAAATAATTTCTTTTTTAAAAAATAATTAAGTCCTTAAACTTTCTAAAAAAAATTAATTTAGAGAGATCATTCTATTTTTTAGCTGTACAAAATTTAGAGAGATCGTTATATCCTTAGGGGGCTATTCTTCCATTGTGACGTTTACCCACATCGGGATAAATTCACTTCTAAAGCAGTGAATTACCACGACACGATTATCGTTCTGTTTGGTTATTTTATTTAACAGTTTCCAGTCAATACTAACATTTCGATTTGCAACTGTCAATTTTACCAATACGTTCTTACAGTGCACTTTGTCAGAGTTCTAATCAAGTATTAAATTTCACAAAACATTTACAAAATGATCACTAAACTTTATTGAACTATGAAAAATAGTCATTAAACTTATTAGTCGATTAAATAATTATCCTTAAACTTATAAAAATTTATCACTATTTTTATAATGTGTAATGAAAATTTTGTAATAGTTTTGATAAGTTAATGACCATGTAATAAGTTTTAAAACTTTAATAACCAAAAAGATAATTTTGATATAGTTCAATGATTGTTTGTGTATTTTTAACCTATGGCCTAATTGTGGGTTCGAGTCCCACTGTGTGTGTAAAGTAACGTTAAGTGTTTTTTTTTTCTTTGGTGTCGTTTGTTTGGAGGAAAGATTATTACTTTTAAGAATATGATTTTCGGATTATTGATATATTATTAAAAACTTTAATTGATAAAATATTCTAGTAAAAGTAAAATATTGTGATATTAATAGTTGATTTGGTAGTAATTAAAAATATTGACCGATCATTTATTAATGATGATTGATTGATCGTTGTTCGAGGTTGATCACTCATTGATCGTACACCATAATATCTAAAGCTACACTTAATTTTTTTTAACAAATACTAGATTTTTTAAGACAATGATATTAAAAAACATAAAATTATTTTTGAATTATTTAAAGATTTGTATTAAAAAGAACACACATACACTTTCTCATAATTGAACATATCATGTCGGAGTTCACTTCACTATGTAATTCATACTGCTTCAAAGATCACATTTGTGTAATTTCTTATTGAAACACTAAAGATGGACACATGTTAAATAATAATTTACCATCACAGACTATGGTTGGACTCTTAGTGCCATATGCATCGTAGTATCACCAGATCTTTGTCGTAGTGGTCACAATGAAATCAATCACACTACCAAACGAACACCAATCACTGAAAGATGCGGTTCTAACTCCCTAAACTTTCCAACAATGATTTAATTCATAAAGTTTGTAAAATCATTTGGGGTGTAAGTATGAAAAAATTATGGGTGAAAGTGTAATTGTACAGAAGTTAGAGTCCTTGTAACATAATTTGTCCAAAAATGATTGTGTAAGAGAATCGGGCTTAAATTTGATGTCAAAATACAAGAATAGAAGAATTTTTTTTTTGACCTTTTTCATTTCTTTCTCTAATCGTTTTAATGGCTGCTTGAGAAGGGATTTATTTATTTTCTCGTATTCCTCGCTTTAATAATGAATTTATTTTTCCTAGGTGATTCTTTACAAAACTCTTTTTTCTTTAATTTTCAAGAAAAATCAGTGTAGAGAGAGTTTTGAATATTTAGGATTTAAGTATTTAAGAAGATTGATGGAACCATTTTTTACAACACTCGTGTTGTGGTTCGAGGAAGAAGGGATTACAAAAGAGAAAGAAAGGTAAGATTTCAGATGTTTATTGCAATTAAAATTCTTCAGATAATGATTTTTGTACATTCTGATTTCTTATATACAACTAAATCCCTTATATGACTTTGTAGGGTCAACTACAACTAAAAACAAGTCAACCGTTTACATACTATTGGACTTACCTACTGAATTCCAAATCCCCAATTCTTTTTGAAGTAAACCCTAGCTCATCTTCCTCTCCCTTCATGGTCATGACAATACCCCGGCTGCACTCGAGCTTTGTCCCCAAGGGCAAGGCTCAAAATCGAGGAATTGGGACTTCAAAACCCACTCGTTTCTTTAGAAGATTGACATGAAACACGGGATAAACCCTAGAATTTTGGGGAAGATCCAATTTATAGGCTATTAAACCCACTTCTCCATTACCTTGTAAGGTCCATAAAAACATATCGAACCTTCAAATTGTTTTCTCAGAGCCACAGTTCACTACTTGTAAGGTTGCAATTTAATGTATACTTCATCTCTAATTTGAAATTCGCTCTGTGTATTTTTTATTAGCATATTGTTTCATCCTGTGTTAATGC